TTTGTAGAATCTGAAATACGACGGTGTGATCTCAGTAAATGCATTCTTCCTGAGGGTGTCATCTTATGATTGTGTCCCTCTGCAAAAAGAGAGATGGTATACTTCTTGCTCCCATGTGTCTTCACAACCACAATCTTAGCTTTGCAATTGCATCTACTTATTCCCCGCTGTCTTTTTCTCTCCCGAGTTTCATCATTCCGGTATACACCTTGTTTGCAACATACAAATTCTTTTCTCAGAATCTCTTTCTTATTTTTCCCCCAAAAGCTGGAATGAAGTCGAATACCAAAGCCAGCCAAGAATGCATATCTATTATAGAAATTATAAACGAGGTCAAGCGAGTCAAACTTCATCCCAACTGCTGGTGCTTCCTCATTTCATACTTCAGGAATGTAAACCCTCCCATTAGCTATTACAGAGTCATCACTCTCTGAGCCCCCAGACATTTTATCCACGTATATTATTGATCTACTTCTATATTACTGCATAGCAAATGTTAATTCATTAATCAATCATTACTGCATCACAACTTATCAATGCATTCCACTTACACAAAACATTGCCCAAATTGACACAATACACGCATAGCCTAGCTTGTTGGATTCTGATTACACAAAACACAAGCAAAATTTAATAATAGTTACGTCATCTCTTGTGAAATAATCTGGAAAAAATAACATTAGAACCAACATGTTCAACTAAGAACTCAAATGTAATTCAAACCAGCAATTACAGAACTTCACCCAATATCCTCTCCAAATGCTTACTTCTAATGCCATTAAGCCTAAGTTTAGGATCTTTTACCTACATTTCATAAATTTCCAATCCCCCTCCAAACAAAAATAATCAACTAAGTATATTGAATATTCATAAGGAAATGACGCATTATTGATAGCAGAGCAAATGACGCATTATTGATGCCACAAATGACAAATTTCTCACCCTCACAAAAAACAAATCAAACCCAACAAAATCAATCCAGCAAGAGTGAACTTACCTCTCAAAGTCAATCGGGAGCTCCGAAGTCAGTCAGCTTGAGAGAATGTGGTGGACATTAGAGAGGATTCTTTCGTAGTGGAGACTCCATCTCTACCAATCGAGGAACAACTGCAGCAGCACAAAAAAGAGATATGCTACTTTTCTTTCATCTGGAATCCCTTCTGCCAAACGAAAAAGAGAAGGGGTTTTCACTTGAATCATAGAATCAAAACAGGGCAATAGCTAGGTAAAAGCCATTAATCGTCATACCGAGGATACCATAGATCGCAGACCTCCCAAGGAGCTGATGACAATGGAGCGATTATAGAGTTTGGGAGCTTTGGATCTTTCTAATTGTGGATTTGCATTACATTAAAAAAGAGAGGATTGTGTTCTTGAGTTTTTCACAGAGAGGGAAAAATCTTCAGCTGAAGTTGGGTTTCCAAACGGGTCAGATTTCAACCTGGTTCTACATGCACCCTCTTTTAAAAACTCACCGTTGGATGAAATCCAACGGCTCTTACATACCCCTAAAAAAAACCCCTTATAACTTTCCACTCACTATAGAAGCACTCTGTATTTGGCCTCTTTTGTAACTTTATTTGGTAATGAATTATTCATTTCCTTCAACCCAAAAAAACAAAAAAACAAAAAAACAAAAAACTACACCTTATCGAATAGGGTAAAAAACAATTGTGATCACTAGGTTTGGGTTTAGGGACAATTTTGGTCACTGTGATTTTACTTTTCTTAATTTCGTCACCACAATCGAGTCCAATGCCTCAATCCCGGCAATTTCACTAATTAAAAAAGATTAATTATTAAATGAAAAATAATAAACTTAAATGCAAAATTTAATATTTAAAATGAACTTTTAAATGGGACTTCACAAGAATAAAAGAGGACCAATGAATCAAGAACAGCCACAATTAAAAAAAAAAAAACTTTCAAATTTCAACAAAACAAATAAAAAAAACCAACGCCAATAGAAGCTATCAAATAATTAAAATGGTTCATATATTTCGATAATTGTTTCACTGAATTGCCGCATCAAGAAATTAAAGACCAACAGAAATATGCTTCTTCTACATCAGGTAAATTAGCAATGGCTACAACCTTCCAACATACAGCTAAAACACCTTGCCTCCTGCTGCTGCACACACTGTCTTTTAAAGTTCAAAATTGTTAGTATTTACCAAAGTCTGTTTTATGAAAAGATTACTCAAATGTAATGTTGAAAGTAAGAACATATAGAAAATTGTACCATTAAATAAGCAACATTAACTACCATCTTGGCCTCGATCCGGTGCCCTTGGTTCCACTCATTCTGATAATAATAATTAATACGAAATAATTAGTACTTAAATTAAAGCAATCCATGAACACAAATTAGAGAAATGGTGATTTGAGCTACATATTTTGTGTTGTAGAAGAGAGGAAGTGAAAGCTGGATATCCCAACAGGCTTAAATGTTTTCGACCAAATGCATGCAACATACCTAAAAGATGAACTTGATGATGGCCTATCTCTCAGACTGAGTGAAGAAAATGGTTTTGAAAGGAACTCTGTTGGATCAGATTCGTCGCAGCTGCTCGAATCTGCTGGCCATCTATTTGGAACACCAGTGACCCTGATCACCAGTGAAGCAATAATGAGTTATTTAAGCTAAATCCACTGAAGTTAGATGTACTATGAAACTGAGTTTTTCGCCAACCTGTGAGGAATAAAAGGTGAAAAAAAGAATTTCCAAGGACAATTTACATACCCATCAAAACATCTGTGTTTGCAACGGTTCATCTTATCGACGGTGTAATTCCCAAAGACGATGTCAAGGCGCTCTGTAAGTTTAGGAATATCAGAAAGTGGGACAATGTCCCAAATCTTCATAACCTGGACAAAATCTGAGTTCTGCTTGTGAATTTCTACGCTCCAAATGAGATACAGCAGCTCATTGACTTCATACGTCTCTAGCAATTCAGCAGAAGTCCCACCATGGCCTATAATCACTTTATCATTCTGAGATTGGCGCCAACCATTAGAAAGCTTTTTTATTAAAGAAATTACGTCCTGTCGAATCTCGGTGTCTTTAATTTCTTCTATTGAATTCCTAAATTCGTTGGCGAACCAAACCTATATCAGAAAAAGACTGATTATTGCTAATGAACACATAAGCAGATACTTTGATGATGACAAAGAAAGAAAACCAGAAGTAGCAGCATACCTTCCATTTTGCATTTTTGAACAGCAGAGAATCAGCATCAAGCAGAGTATGTAGTTGGTTATGCTCTAGAAGGGCTGCTGCAATAGCCTGAGCTAAGTTATTGTCCTCATCAGCATTATAGAAACAATCGCGTTTCTTCGCATCAAGAATTAGATTCTTCCAAAGTGAGTTACTGTTAGTCAATGTCGCTTCATTCCCCAATATCCAACGGCAATGCCTACACCAACAAAACCACAAAAAATTAACTTCATCAAATCTAATCTACAACATGAACAAGCTACAATGTAACATGCAGTAATACCTGGCACGAGTTAGAACCACATTTGCTCGCTGACGATTGGAGAGGAAACCTATAGATCCATTCCCATTACATCTGACAGTGGAGATAATTATCACATCCTCTTCACCACCTTGGAATCCATCAACAGATCGCACACTTACAGAGAAATCTTTGCCAGAAACTTCACTGTAGTTTCTGACTCTCAATTGAATTGCATTAACTTGAGCTTTGTAAGGTGATATTACCCCAACACTAACCTTCTTTTTTGTTCGAGTAAATTCTGTGGCGAAGAAGGAAAAGTTAAGAAAACTACCGAGTAGTAGGTATCATGTACCAAGCTAAAACCTTCTCAAGCAGCATATTCTTACAACAACTAAGAACATCAACTAGCTTAGGACAGTAATTACCTTTGTAAAGGCATGAAACTATCTCATATACAACAGCAACCTCAACCATGTTTTTCAGACTATGCCCGCGATCAAATTCTTCTTTTCCATTGGCTACATTTATAAAGGAGTATGGCCCGTACATTCTGCCCTCAATGAAGGACTTCTCATAGCTTACTTCACTGACATTTGGACCATCTAATATCTGATTGTTGTAGAACTCCTGTTTCGGAAACCTGCTGATTGATGGATGCATCCTATACTGGACATTAAGAAGGAGCTCCTCGTGGCCTAACAGTACAAGTCTTTCGAACAAACTTCTTCCAAATTCAGCATTCTCGGAGAGCTAACAAGTTCATTTGCTAAGATGTTAATATATTTATGAATGTGTGCGTGTGTATAAGCTTCTCATTATTTAAAAACCTAAAGAAAACTAAGGGTAAAAAGAAAACCTTGCTTTTAACCATAGCAGTGCATCAAGAATTAGATTCTTCCAAATTGAGTTACTGTTAGTCAATGTCGCTTCATTCCCCAATATCCAAAGGCAATGCCTACATCAACACAACCACAAAAAATTAACTTCATCAAAACTACCAATGATTCACAAAACATCTAATCTACAACATGAGCAAGCTACGATGTAACATGCAGTAATACCTGGCACGAGTTA